TTGAATAGGGCCCAGGAAAGATCTCTAGATTACTCAAACATGCATGGATGACATATAAAACCCCTTCAGGCAGGTTTTTGATGAGGGACCAACATTATAACAAGGTAGAAAGTTCCAAAATACATAAAACCCTCTTTTCCACTTAATGCTACTACTACTACTAAATCTGGAGAAGCCGGTCAGACTGCTGCATGTAACTGGGCTGGGTCTGATTTACATTAAGAGCAGACTAGGAGATTCATTCAATTGCCTCTGACTCATTTTAGATCAGATAAATAACTGCAGACGATGTTGTGTTATTTCTCTATTTGGGTCAGCTCTAAATTGAAAGTAAAATCTACTTAAAGGTTCTATACTTCTGAAATTTGAAAACCTGAATGAAATCAAACACAATTCCAGGCATTTTTGTGATGAGAAAACATCATTATAACATAGATCAGAAAATAACGTAGCCCTTTAAACATAATTCTGGACAAAATGTTCCAATTTTTGACAGTAAAATCTGAGTTTTATTTCATTGCACACCACAAAACCTGCACAAAACATTAGTGAACTTTACAAACTGGAGCTGAAAGTTAGATATTGAAGTTAGATCACTTGTTGCCAAATATAATAAACATAAATAAGCACCATCTGTCTGCTCTATCTACAAATGTCCAAATTTATGTTTTTATTTTGCTGTCATATTAAAATTCATTTGTGCCGCAGCTCACTCCTGGAGGGGTCTATAGCAGAGAATAGCCTCTTTTTCATTGGCACAGTTCACTTGGGGCCTGAAGCGCGTCTGTAGAGCGGCTCCCTCCAGCCCAGGTGTGTCTCCATGTTCTGGGTTCTAGGATCAGGGGCAGGACTCAGCTCGGTGACACTCTGACTTTACTTAAACATAACTCATGTTTTATTAATAAAGGATTTTATAAATTGTCTCTGAATTTTTTATCATGTGGCTGATTTCAGCAATTCACAAAAAGACATGTAGTGTTTTTGACCATATTAAACATTTAGAAGTTTCAATATTATTGTTTATGTCTATATTTTCTTTAGCAATGTATTGTAGTGTTGTGTATATTGTTAGGTACAGTGTTGTTTATAATGTTGTGTATAGTGTAATTTACAGTGTCGTGTATATTGTTACTTATATACTTATTAATAGTGTTGTGTATATACATATAGCGTCATATATAGTGTTGTGTATAGTGTTATAGTGTTATAGTGTTATAGTGTATAGTGTTATAGTTTGTGTTATAGTGTTATAGTGTTGTGTATAGTGTTATAGTGTTATAGTGTAGTGTATAGTGTTATAGTGTTATAGTGTTGTGTATAGTGTTATAGTGTTAGTGTTGTGTATAGTGTTATAGTGTGTGTTATAGTGTTATAGTAATGTGTATAGTGTTATAGTGTTATAGTGTTGTGTATAGTGTTATAGTGTTGTGTGTATAGTGTTATAGTGTTATAGTGTTGTGTATAGTGTTATAGTGTTGTGTATAGTGTTATAGTGTTGTGTATAGTGTTATAGTGTTGTGTATAGTGTTATAGTGTATGTGTAGTGTTATAGTGTATGTGTTTATAGTGTTATAGTGTATAGTGTGTATAGTGTTATGTGTTATAGTGTGTTATAGTGTTATAGTTGTGTATAGTGTTATAGTGTGTTATAGTGTTATAGTGTTGTGTATAGTGTGTGTATAGTGTTATAGTGTTGTGTATAGTGTTATAGTGTTGTGTATAGTGTTATAGTGTTGTGTATAGTGTTATAGTGTTGTGTATAGTGTTGTGTATAGTGTTATAGTGTGTTGTGTATATATAGTGTTATATAGTGTTGTGTATAGTGTTATAGTGTTGTGTATAGTGTTATAGTGTTGTGTATAGTGTTGTGTATAGTGTTATAGTGTTTATTGTGTATAGTGTATAGTGTTATAGTGTTGTGTGTAGTGTTATAGTGTTATAGTGTTGTGTATAGTGTTGTGTATAGTGTTATAGTGTTGTCTATAGTGTTATAGTGTTGTGTATAGTGTTCTAGTGTTGTGTATAGTATTCTAGTGTTGTGTATAGTGTTCTAGTGTTGTGTATAGTGTTCTAGTGTTGTGTATAGTGTTATAGTGTTGTGTATAGTGTTGTGTAGTGTTATAGTGTTGTGTATAGTGTTATAGTGTTGTGTATAGTGTTGTGTATAGTGGCATGTATAGTATTCTGTAGAGTCTTATGTATAGTATTATGTTGAGTGTTATGTATAGTATTGTGTGTAATATTCTGTAGAGTGTTATGTATAGTATTGTGTGTAGTATTACAGTGTTATAAAGTGATCTGATTGATTGACTGACATCATGGAGGTAATGCTGTGTGAGCTCACAGCGCTGAGGCTGATGTTCATGAGGCACTTCAAAGAAACATGAGAAAGAGAGAATGGAGGGAAGGGGGGAAGGAAACAAAGGAGGGAGAAGAGGGAACAAGAAAGAGAGACGAGGAGACAGAGAGAGAGGGATGGGGAGATAAAGAGAAGAGAGAGGAGACAGTGGTGGATGAAGTACTCAGTTCTGATCCTTAAGTAAAAGTACAGATACCAGACCAAAGAAGCACCACATGAAAAAAATTTACTTAAGCAAATCTATTAAAGAACTCAAGAAATCTATTAAAGAGAGTAAAAAGTCAAAGTATTTCACATAGATTTTGAGATCTAATAAAATGTTTTTTTTAAGGAGGAACAACAAGTTTGTGAATGTAAACAAGAAAAAAGGTACATTTTGCACTCTAAAGACAAAAGAGGGAAAGAACATTGATTGGCTGAAAGAATGGTGGATGGAAAGAAGAGACAGAGGAGAGAAAGAAAGAGCGAGAGGGAGAGAGGGCGTGTGGAGGAAGCCAAGCAGTGAACACAAACCACCTGACAGGGAGCACGAGCCGGAGCGCCTCATGCAAAAGAGCCGATAAGAGCCGGAACAAACGAATCCTCAGACACGGGGGAGGAGGGTGTTTACAAGCCCCCACCCCCCAAACTCACAGACACACATGCACGTCTCAGGAGCGCGCACGGGCGGACCACACACGGCAGCAGATAAGGCTGTTTGGTGATGGTGCAGGAATATCATATCACCATTGTGTACGGGAAACAGGGAGAGCAGAGGAGGAGACGCTAAACTCAGACAGACTCCCGAAAGAAACAAAACTGGACTAAAGATAAAATATGGTGTTGTTGCGCAGCAGTTTGTTGAATCTAAAATGACTTCTTGATATTTTGCAGTGTCGTCATGCTGGGGGTGTTCTACATGTATGTGTATGACGAATGTTCATCAGTTACCATGGTAACGCATCGAACACATGATCAAACCCTGCCTCATAAGCTTTTAGACTGTCAGAAAACTCATGAAAAAATACAAAATGGATTTAAGCAACACATTTTCTGAAGTCTCTGATCAATACAAATGTGATTTTAAACAAAAAAGGGATAGTTCGTTGTTCATTGACATGAATCTGTATGGCATCCCCATCAGCAGCGTCGTGCATCCACACTGACTTACCTTTGACAGCGTCCGGTGAACTGAGATACTGACCGGTTTTGGTGCTGATGAAAGTAGTCCGGCAAGTTGGCTGGGGACATTAAAGTAAATCGTGTTTCTTCTCAAAACAATATGTGTTCAAAAGAGTGATACATTTGCATCACAAAACCTTTGTCCTCAAAAAAGTCACACCTCATAATCATTTAGCACTATTTTCTCTCCGTTTGTATCACTTGAGTTGAGTAAAAGAGTTTCATACAGAGCAGTGCTTTCTGTTAGCTTCACACCTCCAGGGAACGTTGATGACATCAGCTGCAAAGTATTAGTAGAGTTTTGCATGTTATAACTTTATTGTTGTGTTTATGTGTCAATTAATTATTAGACTATGAGATAGAGAAGCTAAATTTGAATTTCCCTCGGGATCAATAAAGTATCTTCATTTATCTATCTATGTAATAATGACTATGTTATTGTCATGGTAAACTGGGTTAAGAGGCCACATCCTATAAGGAATCAATTAGAAACAGCTCTGAAATTTTATTACCAAAAGGGATGCTAAAGCAAAGAGCATTTCCTGCACTTTGTCAACCATGATCTCTGTGAAAACAACTAAAACTGAGATCATCACTTCATAAAACGTATAGTGACCAGGTCTGAACCTATGACTGCACCAGAACTGAAAGAGGACTAACCCAGGACTAAACCATGTCTAAGATGGGTCTAAAACAGGACAAAAGCAGAAGTAAACCAGAAGTAAACCAAGACTAAAAAGGAGTAAACTGGGACCGTACTAGGTTTCTCAGTAGACTGCACAGGAGAGTCATGATTACAGACTTTGGGTTTGAGTAGGTTGAGACTCATAAGATATAAGATTTCAATCCTAATATCTGACTTGGATTAAATCATTTTTAATTATTAGTCTTGTAACTAACAGAACCGAAATTATTATAGGTCCTATGTTAAACAAAACTGACTCTTGTGAGCTTTAAGTCATGTTAGAATGTTGTTACCTCCTCAAAAAACAGACCTGGTGCTGCATTTTATTGTATTCACACAAGTTTGAGTAACCCTTTATTATTAGGCTGTCTACATCTGTAAAGCTCAAAATGCTCTGTTGCACCTTGTGATGTCATGTAGTGGTAGTTTTCAACTTAACAGCTCCTTTTAACTTTAGTTCAGTAGAGATTGTCGATTTCAGGGCTGAAATTATCCAAACAATTTGAGTGAAGGTGTACAGCAGAGTTGAGCATTTCCTGTATTACCACATGACATCACAAGGTGGAACAGAGTGTTTTCTGTCTGAGAGAAGAACTCAGTCTAAATGTGTATGTTTTTGATGAGGAAACAAACATTGTAACAGAGATCAGAAAATAGCATAATATTGGCCCTTTAAATTCATTGTATAAATGTTTGGAAGTCCATTCTGAGTGTCTCCTCCTCTCCTCTGTCCTCGTGTCCCTGTGTGCTGATGTGGAACCGGGCTCTCCATGTTTGCACTGTCCTCCGGCTCAGTCCTCCAGTTCCGACTTCAGCAGAGGAGAAGCAGAGAGGCGCAGGCAGAAGAGGGAAGCATGCCTTGTGAGTAACACCAATTAAACACCAATATATTCAGTTCACAGTGATATATTAACCAAAACTGACTCTTGTGAGCTTTAAGTCATGTTAGAATATTGTCACCTCCTCAAAAACAGACCTGAAGTTGTGTTTTGTTTCAGTTACACATGTTTGAGTAAATCTTTATTATTATTATCTTTATTGTCTGTCTACATCTCCAAAGCTCAAAATGCTCTGTTGCACCTTGTGATGTCATGCAGTGTAGTTTTCAGTGTAACAGTGACATTGTACCTTTAGTTCAGAAAAGATTGTCAGTTCCAGGGCTAGAATTATTCAGATGATTTGAGTGAATTTGTAGTTTAAAACATAGTGGAGCACTTCCTGTATTTTCACATGACATCATAAGCTGGAACAGAGTGTTTTCAGCTTGAGAGAAGCACACACTCTTAGTTGTTTGTGTGAACTCTAAACATGTGTGAATGGAAGAAAAAAACAACTCCAGGTATGTTTGTGCTGAGGAAACAGCATTATAGATCAGAACATAGTGTCATATGCGTCCAGTGATCTGTCGTGTATGCTTACATGTCAGTGAAATGCCATCATTAAAGATGCACTTTGTCACTTTTCTTCATCAACTGCTTGTCTCCATGGAGATTTTATTGTGTTGCCTGGAATGTTTCGCAATATGGCATTAATCATCATCTTCATGGAGACAAGCCCATTGGCCATGTACCAGTTACAAAGCAAGGTATTTTTATCAATAAAAAGCCTGCAGTTAAAGCTGGACTATGTAACATTTTTGATTTCCATGGTGGAAATTATACAAATGATTCTAATGAAGATGTGGAGTTTAAAACCACATTGGAACACTTCCTGTAGTGCTGTGCACAATGTTTGTGAGTTAACCCTTCCTGGCCGTGGTCTAGTTTAGATAACTGCACATAACTTTCCAACTATAAAAGATAGAAACTTGCTTTGTTTTGGTTTGAAAGATAAGACTTTTGGCTTTCCAAGCATATTTCCAGCATTATCCTACATCACACATGCTGTGTGATGACGTAGGGAAAACGAGTGACCAATAGGAACTTTGTTTTCCGCCAAACTCATGTGCTTCATCCATTTTGATTGGGCCAAACTTTGCCAAAGACTGTAGTGAGTCAAAATGGTCAATGCTCTGAGAGTCTGTGTGTGTAACAATTGAAGAAAACGCTCTAAGTGCACTTTTTTCTCAAATAAATGGAAAATTGCTTGTCTTGTTCTGTGTAATTGTGCATCCCTTTCTGTTTTTATTTGAAAGGTTTGTTTCAGTCCAAATTTACAAATCCAAACATAATAAACCACATGGAAATGCAGGAAGTGATGTAGCTCTGTGTCTTGGACGTATGCTGTGCTCCAAAGCAAGAAAAATATCTGATGAAGGCTTTTTTGCAGAAACGTTATTTAAAAAAAAAAAAAAAAAAAAAAAGCTTTTGGACATCAGCCATCTGAGTGTGCTATGCATTTTTTCACATTTGTCTGTGCCCTGGACCTGACACCAGCTGTTTCCATGACTGGCAGCAGTCAAGTCATGGGGCCATTACACTTTTTATTTTTATTTATTTATTATTATTATTATTATTATTATTATTATTATTATTATTATTATTATTATTGTTTTGAGGCAATAAGGATATTTTGAGTTTACTTACAGACTTGATATGTTGCACTTTTATAGCTATGGCCCAAACAAAAAGTTGTTTATACATGTTTGCTGTGTGTTTTGTGTCACAGTGTGGGAATTTTATTTTCCGTTTTCTTTTTTCGTTTGTGTTTCTAATCATATATTATAACAGATAGTAGAAAATAGAGTAATCCAGGACCTTTTGTGATGATGTGGTTCATTGGGACCTGTTGTTTGGTTACTTGTGTGGTGTTTTGTGCGGTGTTGGTGTGGTGTTGTTGCGGTGTTGGTGTTGTGTTGGTGCAGTGTTGGTGCGGTGTTGTTGTTGGTGCGGTTGTTGTGGTGTTGTTGGTGGTGTGTTGTGTTGGTGTGTTGGTGTGGTGTTGGTGCGGTGTTGGTGTGGTGTTGGTGTTGTGTTGTTGTGTGGTGTTGTGTTGGTGTTGGTGTGTTGGTGTGGTGTGGTGTTGTGTGTGTGTTGGTGTTGGTGTGTTGGTGCGGTTTTGGTGTGGTGTTGGTGCGGTCTTGGTGTGGTGTTGTTGCGGTGTTGGTGTGGTGTTGGTGTGGTGTTGGTGTGGTGTTGGTGCGGTGTTGTTGAGGTGTTGGTGTGGTGTTGGTGTGGTGTTGGTGCGGTGTTGTTGCGGTGTTGGTGTGGTGTTGGTGTGGTGTTGGTGTGGTGTTGGTGCGGTGTTGTGTGTGGTGTTGGTGCGGTGTTGGTGTGGTGTTGTTGGCGGTTGTGTTGGTGTTGTTGTGTTGTTGGTGTGGTGTTGGTGCGATGTTGGTGTGGTGTTGTTGCGGTGTTGGTGTGGTGTTGGTACGGTGTTGTTGCGGTGTTGTTGCGGTGTTTGGTGTGGTGTTGGTGCGGTGTTGGTGCGGTGTTGTTGCGGTGTTGTTGCGGTGTTGTTGCGGTGTTGGTGTGGTGTTGGTGTTGGTGTGGTGTTGGTGTTGGTGCGGTGTTGGTGTTGGTGTTGGTGCGGTGTGTTGGTGTTGGTGCGATACTGGTGCAGTGCTCCAAACGGTTCTTGTCCCTGTGTACTTCTGGGAAGCTGGTGACTCAAATCTCCACAGATAGGCTTGGACACTTATCTGGAAGAATGCTGTTATTACTCTAATCTTCACATCAGTGGACCATTCAGCAGCACCAGTGTTATTTTTAAAAATACTTTATGTTTGAGTCATATTTTATAGTTAAAGTTGAGAAATGGCGATTCTATTTGTCATTTAAAGCAACATAAGTAAGAGGCGTTTGCCTAAATGCCTAAATGTTTTTGTTTGTTTGCTTGTTTGTTTGTTTGTTTGTTTGTTTTGTATGTTTGCTTTAAGAGAGGAGAGACAGAGGCACAGAGAAAAAGAGAGAGGGAGAAGAAAGAGAAGAGAGAGGGAAGGAAGGAGAGGAGGAGGGATGAGAGTGAGAAGTGAGGAAGTGGACAAAGAAGAAAAAAGGAGGAGAGAGGAAAGAGAGGGGAGGAGAGGGTGGAGAGTTAGACAGAAATGCACAGAGAAAAAGAGATGATCAGAAAGAAGGGAGAAGGAGAGATGGTAGAAAGAGACAGAATGAAAGAGGGCAGTTAGAAGGACATGGCCAGTTCTTTAATCCTAGCTCTGGTCTAGTCTGGTCTGGTCTGGTGTGGTCTGGGTCAGGTCTGGTCTAGTCCAGGTCTGGTTTGGCCTGGTTCAGGTCTTGTCTAGTCCAGGTCTGCTCTATTCCAGGTCTGGTTTGGCCTGGTTCAGGTCCGGTCTAGTCTAGGTTCAGTCTGATTTGGTCTGATGTGGTTCACATCTGGTATGGTTTGGCCTAGTTCAGGTCTGGTTTGGTGTAGTCCAAGTCTGCTGTTGTCCAGGTCTGGTTTGTTATGGTCTAGATCTGGTCTGCTATGGTCCAGGTCTGGTCTGCTTAGTCCAGGTCTGGTCTGTTATGTTCCAGGTCTGGTCTGTTATGGTCCAGGTCTGGTCTGCTATGGTCCAGGTCTGGTCTGCTTAGTCCAGGTCTGGTCTGTTAAGGTCCAGATCTGGTCTGTTAAGGTCCAGGTCTGGTCTGGTATGGTCCAGGTTTGAAGTTATAACTCATCTTCTTGTTTAGCTCTTTGCCACATGAGACTGTGTGGAGGTGCTGGGAGCCCCATGATAACAAATCACATGCTACAAGCTCCAACCTAAGCCAAGTAATGTAAATGTGAACATTAGGTCATCTTAATTAAACTATTTAGTGTTTTGCTACTTTAAAGATGCACTATGTCATTTTTCTAGGAGATGAGTGGGTGACACAGAAGAGACTGGCTGGTCAGACAAGTGGACAATCTGAATAGATTTTGGCCCCCCAGGTTTTATTTGTAACATTTTTATGTTGTGCAGCCGCGGCCTGTCCACAGTTGGTCCTTGCATTTGTTATTGTGAGTGTGTTTACACCAGAGCAAACAGGACAGTAAACGGAGATGGAATCAGGGGCTGGACATGGAGCAGGTGTGCCCAGGACTACTGCTCCATGTCGGGTACAGGGCACAAGGCAGTGGCCCCTATCTGTCTCCAGGCTCCAGGGGCAGATAAAGCTGTGGTGTGTGGAGAACGCAGGCCAGAGCCCAGACCAGAGCCCAGATAAGAGGGGGGAGCTGGGGGAGAGCGGGGGCTTATCATGGTCACAGTGGCAGCACATGGGACAAATTGTGAATTGTGTGGTACAGTTCGTTCACATCCACAGGCTAAATTACAACATCATGTGTGTAAACAGCTCTACAGCTGGACACTACAGAAAAGGAGGGGGTGAGGCAATGTAGGGGCCATACCATCTTCAGTGGTACTCTCAAAATTCACCATAATGCATCTGGAGAAGTAGTGGACTGCAGCAACAAGATGTTATAGTTACTTACAAATCCACACACATGAGTTACAGGCAGTGTGACTGAATATAGATGATGAATATTCATTCACAGTGCATGTAACTCAACCATCACATGTTACTGATGAAGCCCTTATGAGCTGCCATAGAACAAGATGATTTCCCTGTTTTATATCTTGTAATGTGATTTTAGGATATTAGATAAACTTAGATGTTAGTGTTAGATAAACTTGGTGTACCAAGGGTACTCACTGCCACCTCAGTCTTTAGCTTAGCCAACGTCATCAGTATAATACTCCCTGCAATAGCTTATTTAACATTATTAAGTTATGTTATACATTATAAAATCCATTCTACCATTTTCTTCCGCTTTATCCGGGGCCGACCCGCAGAGACAGCAGGCTGAGCTGGGGGGCTCAGACTTCCCTTTCCATGTACACTTCCTCCAGTTCCTCCGAGGGAATCTTGAGCCATTCCCAGGCCAGCCCAGAAACTTAGAACCTTCCAGGAAGGCATCCAGGAAGCACCCAGAAC